TCATTACATCTCGGCTGGATTACTGTAATGCACTTTATTTTGGAGTTAGCCAGTCCTCCCTTGCACGTCTCCAGTTAGTCCAGAATGCTGCCGCTCGTCTGCTAACTGGAGTACGAATGAGAGAGCACATTACACCCATCCTGGCCTCCCTCCACTGGCTGCCTGTGCACTTTAGAGTTCATTTTAAGATCCTTTTATTTGTTTTTAAATCTTTAAATGGCCTCACCCCGCCCTACCTCTCTGAGCTTCTTCACCCCTACGCCCCTGCCCGGTGCCTCAGGTCAGCTGATCAGCTGCTCCTTGAGGTACCGAGGTCTAAGCGAACGCTTAGAGGAGACCGTGCATTCTCCGTTGCTGCTCCAAAAATGTGGAATAATCTACCTCTGCACATCAGACAGGCCTCCTCACTGTCTGTTTTTAAAACCCACCTTAAAACCCACTTTTACTCACTGGCTTTTAACCCAGCATGAGACCTCGCTCTGTTTTTATTTGTTTGTTGTTTTTATTGTTTTTTGTTTTAACTGCTTTTTATTATCTCACTGTTTTGTTGTTTTATGACCTCCTATGTACAGCACTTTGTTTCAGCTGTGGTTGTTTTAAAGCGCTTTATAAATAAAGTTGAGTTGAGTTGAGTTGTCAAGATGAAACAAAGAGGATTTTACAGGTATAATTAAATCAGACAAGGTTAATTTGCAGTGTTTTTGGAATCATTTTGTGTTCCTGAATGTCTAAATATCAAATATTCCATCCACTATCATAGAAATCGCATTCCCAAAGCAGTTTGTAATGAGATGATCAGACTACTATCAGTGTGACCTGAGTTATAAATAACTAATGACATGGTAACGATGTGTGTGTCTGCAGGGCACACTAGACTGGGAAGACTTCCAGCAACGTGTAGACAACCTGTCGGTCTTCCTGGTGAAGAGGAGGGATGGTACCAGGATGTTTGTTCACCCGTCCTTCAGGGAGTGGCTGATCTGGAGAGAAGAAGGAGAAAAGACAAAGTTCCTCTGTGATCCGAGGTGAGGGCGTGGCGGGAGAAATGCCGGATTGAAGTGAGAGGAGAGGCAGAAAATGAACAGAAACTACTTTTTTAACCAGCTCTGTATCGTAACAGTGTGGGTAATATGTGTAAATGAGCTGTGGTAAACTTCCCTCCAAATTGCCAGAGCTCAGGACTCCCTGCTCATCTCAAAGCTCAAATCTGATGGATTATGCATTTGTCTGGCTCTAAGGCTGTTGCTCAAACTACAGAGTTTACTACCTTGGATGCCCATCACGACATCCTCACCACGAGTAAAGAAGCAGATCTCTCCCACGTTTAGAGATCTCTCAAACTGAGATCACATGGTTAAATTAGGCAGTGCTGTTAAAATATGAACCAGGATTCTGTTACTGCGTTGCTTGTTTCTCACCTAAAACATTTTCAGAAACATATTTTAGCTAAGGTGACAGTCAGTGTTTTCTCTGACAGCCACTTGCTGCTGCATCTTGTGTAACATGCCAGCATTGTGCAATCAGCCATGTATAAATATAAATCTCTCTGTCAGTCGCAGGTACATTATGTTTGTCTAGCAAACGACGTGTAGGAACATTTTATTTCCTGTATTGTAATTACAGCAGATTGCACCGACTGTGCAGAACACAATGTAATGACCTGATGAGTCAGTCTCAAGTATTGAAGGATCCTGTGTCCGTCCTCTCTGCAGGAGCGGTCACACCCTGCTGGCCTTCTGGTTCTCTCGGCAGGAGAACAAGCTGAACAGACAGCAGACTATTGAGCTGGGCCATCACATCCTCAAAGCACATATCTTCAAGGTACACCATTATTTGTCTCCACACACATCTATACACACACACACACACACACACGCATGCACGCCCCCGCACAGCTGCGGTCTGGCTCCAAAGTAATGAATATTTACACTCTATCTCTCTCTTCAAGGGCCTCAGCAAGAAAGTTGGGGTTTCCTCATCCATCTTGCAAGGCCTGTGGGTATCCTACAGCACAGAGGGCCTTTCAGCTGCACTTTCTTCACTCCGAAACCTCTACACTCCCAACATCAAGGTACCGGCGCCAACATAGCAGAGAGGAGTCATAGTTAAAGAATATTTCAACATGTTACTACGACGACTTCACAGAGAAACTTTGTCTCTGGACTCAGATAGTTTCAATATTTGAATATTTCCTCATGTTTAATTATCTTGTCCATGTGTTTCCAGGTGAGCCGGCTGCTGATGATGGGCGGTGCCAATGTGAACTACCGCACAGAGGTGCTGAACAACGCCCCCGTGCTGTGTGTCCACTCCCACCTGGGCTACATGGACATGGTGGCTCTGCTGCTCGAGTTTGGCGCCTCTGTCGACGCTCCGTCTGAGAGTGGCCTCACGCCGCTGGGCTACGCCGCGGCTGGGGGACACATGGCCATTGTGACAGCGCTTTGCCGCAAGAGAGCGAAGGTGTGTGAAGCGTGGAGAGTGTGTGATCAAGGCTGCGATTGAGCGCGTCTGTTTTTCTGGATTTTCATTTGAAGATCTTTTCCATGTCTTGATAACTGGATATAAATTGTACTCACTAACTGGTTTTCCCGACCAACTCTGCGTCCTGTTTACAGGTGGACCACCTGGATAAGAACGGCCAGTGTGCCCTGGTTCACGCGGCCTTGAGGGGCCACATGGAGGTGGTGAAGTACCTCATCCAGTGTGACTGGTGCATGGGGTCGCAGCAGCAGCAGTCGCCTCAAACCCAACAACAGGCGTCCTTCACCAAGAGCCACGCAGTCCAGCAGGCCCTCATCGCTGCAGCCAGTATGGGATACACAGAGGTACGGCAGGGAGGAAGGAGAAGTCACGGTCTGAGTATCATGCTCGCCGGTGTCTTTAACTCCGACACTGATAATGACACTTTTGCTTTTTTGTTGTTTCTCGTTTTAACAGATCAACATGTGTTGGTAGATTTTGCTCGGCTCTGAAGCTGCAGAGAAAAATTATATTTTAAAAAAGCCAGATTTACTCATTAAAAGATATTCTGTGGCTTTGTGCACCACGATCACCCCGAGGTTATAGGTTATATATCAGTGAAAGAGATTTAGTAATGCAACAGGAAGTCACAGTTTCTCATTTGAGCTTTATTTTTCCAGAGAGGTTTCAGGGAGCAGAAGCCTCTTTTTTGCAGCAGCACCCCTGATCACATTAGCACAGTTACACACATACACACCTGGAAGCGGCCCAATTCAACCACAGTCCAATCTGCTTGCCACTAAGCAGCTCCACTGGAGCAGTCGGGGTGCTCAAAGACACCTCGGCGCGCTGCTTTTTCAATTTTCACACCCAGATTTATCCTGCCGGTAACAAGCTCGCCTCTCTAACCCTTATTCCACCACTGTCCCTATGCACTGCAGTATGTCAGACATTTTTAACACCAGAACAGCTGCTGAAGTCCTGTTCCCAGGAAGAAAAAGAGGACGCAAGAAGAAGCAGACAGCACTAAAATGCTGATGATGATTAGTGTTTGAGCCGAAGGCAAGGAAGCCACTACGGCTGAATTGTCTCTGCATCTCCTTCAACTGTTTTCACTCTGTAAACACGAGTTGAAATGTTCGGCTCACTGCAGAGAAGTGCATCCTTGTGATACAGTGCAGCAGGGCTGTTTAACTGTATTAATCAGAGGCTCATTTTCAGAAAGCTACGAACATACGTGGGGCCGGACATTCCTGTGCACTGTTATTCTCGTCATGTGTGGACAGTCGACAAAACACGTCACCACATTTTCAAAACTTTGATTTCCCTACATTGCAATTTACATTTACCGTTTACATTTTTACAACCTCCCTTAGGCCTGAAATTTCGCTGAATATTTGTCACGTGACTATTGGTCTCATCCAAATTATTCATGGTTTCCCAGTTGTGCTGAGGAGCGCAGAATTTAATGTTTTTTACAGGATCTGTTTGCTGCAAACAGCTTATTTTTGGCAAAATTTTGAAAGAGACAATGTAAAATAAAGTAATTAACGATATAAGCTAAGATTTGGTTTCCTGATGGAAGCATTTGTCACACAAGATGCGTTCAAGGACCACTAACAAAAGTTGTAATTCTGTGACATGGCGTAAATTTGGCAATTATTTAAAAAAGAAAACATGCTCTTTAAACTCACTGCTGGGTTTTAGCGTTCAGAGGCAATTAGACTAAGTACACAGAGGCATGTTGTGACACAGTGTCAGTTATTTGCATGATTTTTATCTTTTTCAGCTTTTAGATGTTATTTATTTGTAAACAAGAACTGATCAGCGAGCCTGTGGGCCGCCAGTTAAATAGGCCTGCTGTACATTTTGCATTTTGTCACATTTTTTACTGCAATTTATTTTTCAAAACAGACTAAACGTGACTAATGTTCAGAGTGTGAGGTGAGACAGAATCAGATGGGGAAATAGTCAAACAGGTTGAGACAGAAAGCACTTTGGAGATGTTAAAAAAAAAAAAAAAAAAAGCTCTTTGCGGACCACTAAAGTGACACTGATTTGAATTTGAGGAAGAGTGAAGGAGGCAGCGGAAACAGCGAGAGTATGATGGAGGGAAAAGAAACGAGGAGAGGCGGAATGAAATGAGAGGGGAACCACGTTTAAATGATCCGTCTGTGGTAAATCCTACTTCGGCTCTGAAAGAGACTAAATCAATGACAACTTTGTTCCAACAGCTGATTGACTGAGGTGTGGTGGTCGATGTAGCTGCTAATGACGACTGTCAGTCATTTCAATTTCAGCCTTTGAAGGTCCAGTGTGTGAGATTGATTTAGCGGGATTAGGCAGCACCTAGAGGTGAGGATGGCAGATTGCAATCAGCTGAAGCGTCACCCAGTTAGAATTCCTCCAGTGTTCATTGTTTTACTGGAAATGGAATTATCTGCAGAGGTCTCTTCCTCTCTGAAACAAACGAACCAGGTGATTAAAACCAATAAAAAACCCAGAATGAAGCAGTTTCACGTAGCAAATCAATGTTTTCCTACCCTTATTTCTGATCCTGATGTTGACAAGGTTTTTACTTGGAGTTGAATTTTCCACAGAGGTCTCTTCCTCTCCAAACAAGCAGACTCTGTGATTTAAACCGGTAAAAACACTGAATAAAGCAGTGTCTCGATGCTGTTTGACATGTCGGATAAGGGCGGCTAACCTAGCAGCTGCTAATGTGTGTTCAGCTGATTGCTTTGATAACTTCAGATCCAGACTTTAAGGAGGTTTATAGCAGGAGCCGAATTATCTGTAGCGGTCAAATGGACCTGGTGATTTAAACCATTAAAAGCACCACATAAAGCAGTTGCACATTTTTAAAAAAAAAAAAGTTTTTTTGGCGGAAGAACTAAAACTACGGTGGGTGACCTTGACCCTATCTAGAGCCAGTGTTTGGTCTGTCTCTTCTGAGCTACTGTAGACAAGAACCCACTCCCTATGTAGATATAAACGGCTCATTCTAAGGTAGCAAAAACACAACAATTCTTATTTTCATGTGATTATACACTAAAGAAAACATACTTAATGTATGATATTCTATTTCTGCCAATATATCTCGCTAAATCCTCCACTGGACCTTTAAAGTTATTCAATAAGGTGGTTTTATTTTACATCATTTATCTTATCTCTGTCTGTTTAGAATAAACTTGGACATTAATCTGTGTCACGTTGAATCTTGTCCCCCTTCAGATTGTGTCCTACCTGCTGGACCTGCCAGAGAAAGATGAAGAGGAGGTGGAGCGTGCTCAAATCAATAACTTTGACACCCTGTGGGGGGAGACAGGTGGGAACACCTACTTTAGATACATGTTACACTAATAAAACCCAGGCACATGACTGTGAATGTTAATGGTTCATGTGGCTGTGAAGTCTCTGAACACAATGTAAAGATAATGAAGCAGTTTGTGAGACGTACACATGTTAAACAATATTTTTAAGGTGTTTTGTGAGAGGGTTTATCTGTGTGTCACTGCGAGGCAGAGCGCTGCAGTGCGGATATGAGAGATGGTTCTTGTGTGTCTGCTGCTGCTGCTGCTGCTGCTGCTGCTGCTGCTGCGTCAGATACTGATGGCAGTGCAGTGGTGTCATTGGAGCACAGACAGGGCTGGGCTCACCCAGAGGAGGAGGAGAGGGAGGAGGAGGGATGAGTGTGCTCCAGGGTGCTTAGAAAAGACTAGTGTGATTGCCCCGTGGCAGGGTGTTGAGAAATGTAATGCATCATTGTAACCTAAAGCTATGAAACCTCGTTGCGAGCCTTATTCCCCCGCTGCAGTGTGTTAGAGAGCTGCTTCTCCCTGTCAGCTCAAGAGGAGGACTTGTACTCACTCAGCTGTGGTTTCATTGTTTATAAGAGATCAGGAGGATAACAGTTGTTCTGGAAGATGATTTTTAATCCCAGTGTTACTGGATAGGTCAACTGAAAATACATTAACAGCCAGAGGGAGAGTATGTATGTTCAGATGTACTCACTGAACTGTGTATATCAGAGTGTTCTTCCAGCAAAGGATAAATAGGTTCAAACTAAAGCTACACCGATAAATTAGCTGATATCTCATTGAGGATATATCAGTACCCGTGAATGCATCGGTCAACAAGCAGTAGTAAGAAGTATGTTTACTCAAGTACTGTAGTTAAGTACAGTTTATAAGTACTGGAATTTCCCTTTTAGGCAACTTCATGTGTCTACTCCACTGCATCTTAGAGGCAAATATTGTTCTTTATACTTCACTAGATTTATTAGATAACTTAAGTCACTTTGCACATTTCAATTTTTAATATAAAATATAAATCGACAATCAAGTATTATAGGTTCAGATACCCATCAGTATTTAAAGAAATTATAATCAGATCCATCCTAACCAGCTGCAGCTATTATTATTATTAAATGGGCCATTTTTCATAATGAGCACTTTTATTTTTGGTACTCTAAATATATTTTGATGCTTATACTTTTCTACTCAAGCTAACTTTTGAATGCAGGACGTTTACTTGTAGCAGAGTATTTCTACACTACTTTTACTTGAGTTAAAGATCCAAGTACTTCTTACACCCCTGCCGACAAGCAATAAATGCTAAATCAGGTTTCACATTATTTTTTTCAACTGCAAAGATGTCCCGCTTTGTTTCTTGGTCCAACTTGTGCGGCAATATCCGGGGCTGAAAAATGAAGCCAACACGGCAAAAAAAAAAACTGCAGTTCCTTGAATGGCCACTTAAGGCTGACTCCGAAAAAATTAATCCTCATAGACCCCCATGTTAAAATACCCAACTTTAAAGCAGAGATAATTATGTTTACAGCCTGGTACGAAAACAGTTTTGGTCTCTATAGCTAATTTCCCTGTTCATGACAACTGTATGGGAGGGGTTTATATAATTCACCCATTAAAATGTTATTAAGGCTTAAAGTTACGCATCATTAAGGGCGTGGCTGCCTGAGAGACATCACCACAGCTCCACCCTGTCGTCCAAATATCATCCCTCAACCCCAAGTGACAAACATTTCCATCTTAGAAACATTGCCCGTGTGCAACCTCTTTTATTTAAAGAAGACACTGAAAAAGTTTTATCTCAAGCAGCACGTCTATTCACCATGACTAAACATCGCAAACACGTAACTTTTCATTTTAAAATTCAATTTTGCGTTTAGCTTATAAATCTCTTGATGGACTTACACCTGACTGTTTATCTGATATGTTGGTCAAATACGTTCCCTCATGATCCCTAAGATCATCCACCTCTGGTCTATTAAATGTCCCCCAGAGTAGAATTAGTTGTACTCAGAGTAGTGATTACTTCTGGCTCTAAAAGACCAAGATACCGAACTCAAGGCTTCAAAACAGAAGTCCACAAAGCAGTGGCTATTTCATAGTCTATGATCACATTTTTTAAACAAACAAATCTAAGGGATTTGTTCAAAGCTTGTTTGTCTGTGTTATGTTTTAAAGGAAATTGCTGTCGACTGATGTATCGGTATCAGTCTAAGAAATCCAGTATGTGTCAGGCTATAGTTGAAACTGCGGTCAGCCCCTCTGGGCCTGCTTCAACTCTGCTTAAAGAGATTTGTTCACTCTGCTTAAATTATTCCAATTATAATCATTACGTTTGAGAAGATGTCTTTTCAAAGGCCTTCGCTTCAGCAAAATCTCGATAGGCTTCTCCTCCTCCCTTCTCTTCCTCTCTCCTCTCCTCTCCTCTAATTGATGTTTTTACAACAGCATGTATCAATATATGAACCTACAGACAGTCATGACCCATATCGACAGCTCCTCTCAGCTTTGCAGAGCTTTACAGTGAGTTTCAGCTCATCATTCAGTTGTCAAAACCTAAACTTTACTGTTCTGGTTCATTCTCATAGCAGTGTTTTCAGCCACAGAAGGTGAAGAGGCTCTGTAAACCCCACCCACATTACATGCCCAGACACAGATAGTGACTTGCAGGTGAAAACATTTACCAGCTATTAAGATACTTCCTTCAGGCATTGATAAAAAACAAAATATTTGTCTGTCATCGTTCATCATGTGAACACAAACATGACTCCAGATGAATGTTCATGTCACTCCATAACTGCTGTTTGCCATGTAAAAGGTGATGATATGTCACGTGTTTCCACTGCCCCCAAGTGGCCAAACAAATCAGTTATTGCAGGTTAATAATGACTTAATCACCAACAAAAATCATGTCTGCGCTAAATCCCCAACTCAAAACCTGATTTCTGTCCTCCACATTCACTTCTGCTTCTCCTCATCTCATCCACTGATCCATTGTGTGTTTGTGCAGCTCTGACCGCAGCCTCCGGTCGGGGGAAGCTGGAGGTCTGTCGTCTGTTACTGGAGCAGGGGGCGGCCGTGGCTCAGCCCAACAGACGAGGCATCGTTCCGCTGTTCAGCGCCGTCCGACAGGGACACTGGCAGGTTAGTGCTTACCTTTGTACCTTGTAGGGTGTGTGCAGGTTCTTAAGAAGTCTTAAATTCAGTTTTGTAAATATGAGGCCTTCAAGGTGTAAAGGTCTAAAGGTCTAAAATATGAACTTGTAAAGTAACATTTTATCTAATTTCTTTTTGTCAAAACAAGTCCTTGAATCAGATGATTTGTCCAAAAATCAGTCTTAAATTTGGTTAAAAACTGCCTTCAAAAGGTCTTAAAAAGCATAAAATACAGACTGGACGATTTCTCCCTCCCTGCTGGGGCTCTGGATTTCCAGGGGTCATGGTTGGAGATCACGGGGACCTTTGTGGTCTTGAGAGACGATCATGGACACGGAGGATCTGTTGTCAGTGGCACTGCAGCGTGTGTTTTGTCTGCCTTTGTTTTTTTGTTGTTGTAAAAAAAAAACTAATAAAAATTGTGTCTGATACCTGCAGACATCCTGTTTTGCATTTGAGTGGACACCAGACATACATCTTGTTTTCCCAGTTTACTCTAAAAGGCTGTACGGATGTGGCAATTATGCTCTTGGAACTAATTTTCATTTTTATTTAATTTTTTTCAAACAATTTTCACTTAATTCTCTTTTGGTTTAATAAAAAGTAGCGTCACTTTTTTAACATAACTTTTTATCACATCCAGTTGCTGTTATATGATGACGATGATGTGATATGATGACATGGGTTCTGTATTTGGGCGTTTCAGATCGTGGACCTCCTCCTCACACATGGCGCAGATGTCAACCTGGCTGACAAGCAGGGTCGCACTCCTCTAATGATGGCCGCCTCGGAGGGACACCTGGGGACTGTGGAGTTTTTACTATCTCAAGGTAAAGGGACTGAGCAGTTCCTCCAGGATGAGACAAGTTCAGCCATTCGACCTTGCAGTTCTGTTCGATCACTGCAACTTTAACACAATTTTTACTATTGAAAACAAATGAAATCTTGTTTTATTGTAGAGCTGCGTGCAGCGTATTGAGTCGCTCAGCCCCCCTGTCTCTCTGTCTGCTTATCATGAGACTATGAGAGTCACACACACAGTGACAGAACTAACTGTTAGCATCACATGGCTAGCGTTACCCAACGGTTATTAACTGGTTTAATAACAGAGTCAAGCAATTTCAGTGTGAGATTAATGGCTCTGTGTCAGATGTTTACTGCTGCGATGGGGCTTTTGACCAAGCGGCAAAATAAGATGAGAAGTGATGACATCGAGTAACCAGGCAGAGAGCGCAGGAGAAGAGCGGCTGATGGAGAGCGCTGCGTCAAACAGCAGCAGCAGCTGATTGTCGGCAAACAGCTGTTTCTATCCCCAAGGAAAAGCTACAGTGAAACCAGGCTGCAGCAATCGCAGAATTTTAAAACATGGGTTTACAATAAAATTTTGGTCGGTTAGGGCTTTCTGCGTATAGCAAGAGAGCATTTTTTGACACAGCTGAGACCAAAGTACGAGTAGAACCTCTGAAGCATAAATATGAGGATCTACTAGAATAAATACTGCACAAGATATCTCAACAGATGTTTAGTAAATTGATAGCTAAGGCAATAAATATGTGCAGCCATTTGTCATGATCTTTGGCATTCAAAGCCTTCCTACAGGAGCACTCGATATACCAGGGTGTTTCCTCTTCTCACACTCATCTAAACGCTGCAGTCCTTCACAGGGAAAAAAAAAAAATCACAGCCACTGCACCAATAAAAACGAGCGTAATTACAGTTTTCAAATGTTGTTTACGATAATTACAGCCAAATTAAATCAGCAGCAGATTTTAAAAATCCATCAGAAATGAATTAAGCAGTTAGTTGTGAAAAGGATTCGGAGTGAAAGACGCCAGGCTGCGTCTCACTGCCGCCTCTGCCTCTTCCCAGGAGCCTCTCTGTCTCTGATGGATAAGGAGGGTCTGACCGCTCTGAGCTGGGCATGTCTCAAAGGACACTTACCTGTCGTGCGCTGCCTGGTGGAGAGCGGAGCCGCCACTGACCACGCTGACAAGAACGGACGCACGCCCCTCGACCTGGCTGCCTTCTACGGCGACTCTGAAGTGGTACGAGTTTATGACTGAAAAGGGCTGGCTATTTTGTTTGACCTTCACGATACAGACAGATTTTTTTCGCAACCTTTCACACCATGTCTCTGTCTCTTCAGGTCCAGTTCTTGGTTGACCACGGCGCCATGATAGAGCACGTAGACTACAGCGGGATGCGTCCTCTGGACAGGGCGGTGGGCTGCAGAAACACGTCGGTGGTGGTCGCCCTGCTCAAGAAAGGAGCCAAGATAGGTAAGAGCGGGTTGGCGGAGTAAAGAGGCGACCGTTTAGCTCACAGAGGACGTCTTCTAAGTGCAGCATCTTTGTCCTGTAGCGCCATGAGAGAGGGTTATTTGCCTGCCGTGGAGATGAGATACAATTTGAGATTGTATTTTTGTTGAAAAGGTCATGCATTGGAGTTCAAGCATGAGCTGCATGAAAGGGAGAATCCAGAGATGCTCTTTCTTTAAAGTACACACTTCCTGCTGGTCATTATAGAGCGCTGTAGCATTGTACCGCAATAAGCCATGGATTCAGGTTCGTGTCTCCATGTAGCTTAAACCACTTCCTGCTACTGTATGTCATCCGCCCCCCTACTGCCGCATCGTGCTGCTTCTCCTCGGCTATTTATGGCTCTGATGTGTGTTTCTTTTTATTGTACTACTGCTGCCGCTGTGTTGTTTTGCTTTTTCTCTTTCTCTCTCTCTCTCTGTCTGTTTGTCTCTACCTACCGCTCACGCTATCTCCCCGGTTCTCTCTCAATCACATCCTCTCGCTCTATTCCTCTGCGGTTGCTCAGAGACAGGTTGTTATTAGCGCTTGTTTCTTTTCGGTATCCTTTTTTCTCCTTTTTCTTTTGCTCAGGCACTTATCTCCGCTTCTCACTGCTGCTTTTTTTGTGTTCCTTTTTCTCACTTCTCCTCCTCCTCCACCACTGCCATCACTTCTCTTCCTCTTTCTCGCTGTTTCTATCTGTTTTCTCTGGCAATTCTTCCCCTCCCCTCCCTCCCTCGCTCTGCCCTCCCACTCACACTCCCTTCCTTGCTCATGACCTCCTCCTTCTACCCCCCCCCCCCCCCCCCCCCCCCCCCCCCCCCCCCCCCCCCCCCCCCCCCCCCCCCCCCCCCCCCCCCCCCCCCCCCCCCCCCCCCCCCTTCCCTCCTCTTGCCTCCCCACCCATCCCCCGCCTCTCTCTCCGGCCCCAGGATGTCAGACGCTGCCCAGTCGGCCCCGAGGTAAAGCCAAGGCTGTCGACTTCTCACCCCACCAGGCATTTTGACAGCTCTATCTCCTCTCTCTGTGTTGTCTGTGTCGTCCTAAGTGTCGGCAGGCCAGCTTAGCTACCTTCTCAAACTGACAAATAATAACATGCAAAAGGTATTAGCACTGACAGTGATGCAGTCGGGATTGCCCTAGAGGTAGATGCTAACATCCGAGTGGTTAATGACAGCATGCCCGGCCTCCAGCCTGTGACGTCATATCGAGGTGTTGACCTTCCATTCCACAGATGCATGACGGGGAGCCCCCTCAGTAGCACTTTGCGTGGTCGTGATTTAGCGGAAAATGCATGTCTTTGTAACTCCTCTGTACCACCGCCACCACAGACTGAGGTGATAAACCACTGTACTGTGCATCGCTCATCTTCCAGACGTTTCCTCAGTGTCAGCTAGGCCAGTCAGCAGCATTTCTACCCTCACCTCCACCACCCCCACCACCACCGCCACCAGCTCAGAGGACAGCCTGCAGAGCTCCGTTACACCCCTCCTGCTTGCCTCTTTTGTTTATCGTACCTGCCCCATGTCTCCTTGTGCAAGATCCCCTTCCTTCTCATCTCTGTGGTGTGTGTACATGTGTCAAGGATTGCTGTTGCGCAGATACAGAAAAAGACAGTTTCAGTTTGATTTTTTTTTTTCAGTCACAAAGCAGTCTGCAGGGATTAAGTGTCTTTTTTCCTCTTTTCGTTTTTAAATACACGACACAAGTTTTTCCTGCTGCTCTCGATCACATCCCTGAATCAGTCACTAGTACAAAGAATTACTGTACATCTGCACTTCTTGACAAGACAGAAAATGTGTCTCTACAAAAACATGACAGCGTTTTTTTTGTTTGTTTTTCTGTACATCTACTCGGCCTGGGTTAAAACGTATTTGCAGATAATTGCTGCAGTTAATCAGCCATTTGAAAACCGTTTGAAATGTGCTCATTCTGCACTCTAATTCAGCAAACTCGACCCCCAGCAGGATTAAAGAAACACATAATTATCGGCAGATAGTATTTGACCCAGGCCTGACGTCCCATAGCGAGGTCACAGTGTTCTCAAGGTGTCAGAGCAGATCTTTGTAATCTTTTCTCTGCAGTGGATTGCCTGTCTTTTCTCCTCCATTTCCTCATTTTGGCTGTTGTCTCATCCCTGTTATTATTGTTGTGTGTAGTGTGACTCCCAGTCGCTCCCTCCTTCCTCCTCTGCTGCTTATTGCTGTGTGTCTTTCTCACTGCGCTTTTTGTTTTCATCTGTTCCTTCCTGTGTTACCCAGGTCCAGCCACGTGGGCCATGGCCACCTCCAAACCCGACATCATGATCATCTTACTCAGCAAACTCATCGAGGAGGGGGACAGTTTCTACAAGGTCAGACAACAGCTCAGGTTTCACTGGATGAATTACAGATACATCTGTGATGTGATGAATGTGAAATGATCCTGTTTCTACCTGTTGTGAGCAATATAGACTTGGGTCATATGAAGGACGAAAAAAAGACATAATTATCAATAAGTAAATACAGTAATAAATAATTAAATAAATAAATGCTAAAATATATACGTAAATAAAAAAATTAAAGAAAAGCAGAGGTTAGGACCTCATTAAGATACGGACAGAAATACAGAGACAGATAAATGTAGTTGTACAAAAATTGGGGGGGGGGAATTAAGATTATTAATTTTTTTTATTATTTTATTTCATTTTTATTATTTTCTAATTATCAACTTTTATTTATTTATGTATCTATTTATGTCCATATTTATTCAAACATTTATTTTATTTTATTTTTTTATGATTAATTTTATTAATTAATTAATTTATTTATTTATCTTTTTATGTCTATATTTATTTATTTATTTATTTCAATCATTTAATGTATTTGTTAAATGAAAAATAAAATATGATTTATTTATCTATTTATTTCCATATTTATTTCAGCACATATTTGTTTATTCTTTTTTTTATTTATGCATGTTTTCATTTAATTATTTCCATATTTACTTCAGCATTTTTTTATTCATTTATTTATTTATTTATTGAAGCATTTATCTATTTATTTCCATATAGATTCAGTGTTTATTTATTTATTTATATGTTTATTCTATATTGATTTGTATAATGCATGCATGTTTTTATTTATTTATTTCCATGTTTATGTCCACATCCATTTATTTATGTGTTCTTTTATTTATAATTTTATGCATGGGTTTATTTATTTCAACATTTATTATTTTATTTATTTATTCCTGTATTTATTTATTTATAAAGACATTTTTAGTTCTCTATACAGTCAGTGTCATTTGACATAAATTATATATTTTCTTCAGAATAATATATGTTTTGTAGAAAGTAGAAAATTAAAGCTCTTAGTTTTATACGTGTTAGTGCACGTGTGGGATTTTACTCTATCTGTCCTGTAGTTTCCCAAATAAAATACTTTCAGTTGTTTGTAGGTATTATATTGTAAATAACAACGTTAATCTACAGTGAAAACAAGACAATGAGCTTTGATTGAGAACAAATGATAAATGTATCTTTATGTCTGGCTCTGGTTTATATTGTGCAAGGTTTTCAGATTATATTTCACTACGTCATGACGATAACCTGACTTCTCTCTGTTTGTCCAACAGAAGGGGAAGGTGAAGGAGGCAGCGCAGCGTTATCAATATGCCCTCAAAAAGTTTCCACGCGAAGGCTTCAGCGAGGACCTCAAGACATTCAGGGAACTCAAAGTATCGCTCTTCCTCAACCTGTCCCGATGTCGGAGGAAAATGAACGTAAGTCTGAGGCCTGAGCGGCTGGTGGAAGATGCCAAAGCAGACGTGTTTCAGATTGACTTCTGAGTTGTCTGTTATACTAAATAACCAAACCATATTGTATCATACGTCGAACATAATGACGATGATGCTGCCAGCTGTGTTTCCCTTTGTCTTGATATGTGTTGGATGTTGTTCAATCTCTGCAGGACTTTGGGATGGCTGAGGAATTTGCTACCAAGGCACTTGAACTGAAACCAAAATCATATGAGGCATACTATGCCAGAGCACGCGCCAAGCGTAGCAGCAGGTACGCTCCTTTTATCTCTCTACACATCATAGAGTGAGATACTCTTTGATATGCATTTTAAATTGTCTCTGCAGCTATGTTGACTTTTCCCCAACATTAAAAATCAATCTCTTGTTTCCAGACAATTTCCTGAAGCCTTAGAGGACCTGAATGAAGCCATGAAGCAGTGCCCCAACAACCGAGAGATCCAGCGGCTGATCCAGAGGGTGGAGGAGGAGTATCACCAGCTCAACCAGGAGGAGCACCAGCAGCAGGACCTGGAGCTGGAGCCTCCTCCCTCCCCTCCTCCTACACCTCCCCCAGAAGACGAGGAGTCCCTGTCCCTGTCCATGCCTCTCCCCCCTCCCCCAGAGCCCCGTCTGGAGGACATGGAGCCCGTCCAGGACCTGTTTGAGGACGAGGACTACCTGGAGCAGGAGCTGGAGGCCATGTCTGTGGGTCTGCCCCCACCCGAGTCTCTCACCAACCCCTCCAGCCTTCCCATCATCCAGAGCCCGCCGCTGTCCCCAACACATCCAGATCAGATCTACTTAGCTGGAGGTTCGCCCATGGGCCAGCCCTACGAATATCACCCCACCTCTTCCTCCATGTCCTCTCCAACCCGTGGCTCGTACCAGCCCACATCGCCCTCCCTCTCCCCGACGCATCAGAATCACTATCGACACAGCCCGCCTCATACCTCCCCGGTGCACCAGTCGTCCTACGGCTTCAGCCCGCCTTCTATGGGTAGTGGAGGTCAGGGGATGGATCACCAGAGCCCACCGCCTTCTCCTTTACGTCGGGCAGCTCAGTACAGAGCCAGTCCACCAGTAGAGAGTGTTTGTCTGTACAGGTCCCAGTCCGGGTCACCTGTGCGCTACCAGACAGAGCAGCTCCCCGGCCGACCCAAATCCCCCCTCTCCAAGATGAGCAGTCAGCGTTCGTTCCAGCTGAGCTCGCAGCAGTCTCTGTCCTCGCAGCACCACCAAGCCCAAGGCCTTCGTCTTCAGCCTTCTATAGCCCAAATAGTCCGCACAAACCAGCCGAGCAACGTGATGGGCAACAGCCTCTACAGCGGCCAGATGGGACACTCCATGAGTGGTCGCTACCAGGGGGGTTCGGTGGATGTCGAGAGCCGGCTGGTGTACCAGCCCTCCTTGGATGGACGGTCCATGCCCCAGGTGCAGGCCAGCCTCAGCTCTGGGGCCCTCTGTCAGCACGGCGGCCGAGGAGGGGTTATGGAGTCGGGCCTGTTGAAGGATGAGCTACCCCAGCGCCCCTCCTCTGCCTACCGCGCCAGCAGCGGGGGCCCGGGGGGCATCCGTTACAGCCAGACGCCCCAGATAAGCCGCAGCCAGTCAGCCGCCTATTATCCAGTCTCCGAACACGTACTGGAGCGAGCCAATGCCATGCCCCCCTGCCAGTTGGGTTCTCCCGAGATCCCCCACATGGTGAGACGCCCAGTCAGTGCCAATACTACTGAGATGAAGCAGCACGTGCCCACCCCGAGGCCTCTCATCCACTCACAGAGCGTAGGCCTTCGATTCTCCCCGTCCAGCAACAATATCTCAACTGGATCCACCTCCAATTTAGCGCCGGGTTTCAGGCCGTCCTCTTCCATTCAGCAGATGGAGATCCCCCTGCAAGCCACATACGAGCGCTCCTGTGATGACATCTCCCCAATCTCTCCCTCTCAAGGCGGCGGGGGTCTGTATCCAGGCGAGACCACGCGCTCTCGGAACACGCCCTTCATGGGCATCATAGACAAGACGGCGCGGACTCAGCAGTACCTGCATCAGCCCTCACGGTCCAGGGCCATGACGTCCATGGACTCCGCTATCAGCCCCACCTCGCCTGGCCAGCTGGTCCAGCAAGGCTCCACCTACAGCCCCCCCGCCTCGCTGGGCAACATCGCCTACTACAACAAGACTAACAACGCCCAGAACGGACACCTGTTGGAGGAGGACTACTACACCCAGACGCAGCCCCCCTCGCTGGGCAAGCTGGCCAACGGCTCCCGCGGCAGTGGGGACATCCTGGAGCGGGTCAGCCAGGTGCCCACCTATCCGGATGTGAAGGTGGCGAGGACTCTGCCCGTGGCACAGGCCTACCAGGACAACATGTATCGCCAGCTCTCGCGTGACTCCCGGACCCAAGGCCCCACCTCCCCCATCAAACCAAAGAGACCATTTGTGGAGTCAAACGTGTGATGGCCTGCCTGTGATTGGTTGGTCGGACTGGGCTTGTCAGTGGGAGTGAGAGGAGGAAAATATTTAGCTCGACAGCAGATGCTGCTGACCCCTTGTGTATGTGACATGGACGGACTCATCTTAAAGAACTCACCAGAGAGAAACCCACTCAGCCGGCACACACACACTTAGGGTATTAGACATTATCTTATATGAGAAACATAACTAACAGTGAAAGCGATTATTTCATTATCATATTCTGCACACAGGTGGGACAACAGGAGGGTCCTCAGTTCTGATCTCATACTGAATCAAAGACCGGTGCACTTCCAGAATGTTGTGCGGCACAAAGTTCCCACAGGTGAACACGACAGGTGGGACTGTGAGAGTGAAAGTACTAACCATCGGACTCGACTCGTGGACTCTGTATCCATCTTCTGTTCTTTCAAAGTGTGCTCTTAACCAAGGTTGCTAGTAGGCTCTATTCTATGTAATACAATATTATATGTTCAATACTGTACATTGCTCAGAAAATACAAATGGCTCAACAAAACTCAGTACTTAGAGAAAAATGACAATATTTATAATTAAGTTATATATTGTACATAGAAAGAAAACATAGTTTGCGTTTGAATTGTATTCTGTTAACCCTGCCTTTGTGTCCCACTGCTAGTCATATGGATGTGGAAACCGATCAGGGCGAGGAACGAGGGACATCGACCAACTTTGAATGACGTAATTACCTCTAATGTGTCGAAATAAAAAGGATTCTGTCGTGGTTTAATGCTAGAAGATGCTTCCTATGCTGCAGTAGGTCCTAAATGATCTGAAGGACGTAACTAGCAGGTTTATCGATTAATCTGCAATGTTTTTTCTGTAAAATGTCGGAAAATAGAAAAAAATATGTCCGGTATAATTCCCGCAGTCTGAGAGCGGAGGCTTCAAATGTAAGGTTACCATCAGAAAGTTTGGCCAGTTTATTTCCTGTCAACCGAGCTATGGATTAATTATTTTTAGCTCTACGTTAATAAACACATGAGAATTCAGATCTTACACAAAGTACCACAGAGTGCTTCAAAGGTTTAGCTGGAATTGGTCAGTTAAAAATGATGCTCACACCTATTTTTGCATCTTCTTTTGTTCATTAAATCATTTTTGAAAACTACGTAAATACGTAAACTATGATTTTCTATATTTCCTAACTGTATCACAGACCTCATGATAAGCATTCATGCAGTGATACTTAACTTCAGACCTGTGGGCTGAATCTGGCCCACCACAGCGTGCCGGGTGGCCCGCCAACCACTTTCTAATTCACACTGGGAATTTTTTTTGTACTCTGAATGTAAATAAGGCATCAGAGTGCACGGAAAAGCTTAAAAATCAAGCTTTATTTTGGTAAAGTGCCAGAGGAGGAACCTCTAGACCCCCAGCAGACATCCAGACTAAGCCCCAAATGTCTTCAAATCCTGGAGACACCCCTGCGTACACCTGAGCTGTGCTACGACTGGATTTGCCTTTTAGCAAAGAAGTAAAGATGAGTGAGGACAGCAAACATTCAAAGATTAAATAGGGCTGCACCATATGCAAAAAACATATATAGTTTTATTATTTTGACAGATACTGCGATTTGAGTCACGATTTTAGTGGTAATAGCAATTTTTGCATCTGATTTTCACTTTTAAAAAATGATGTGATTTTATTTTCTGGGGTCTGTGCCTAATAAGCATGTTCCTTTACATCTGGAATATGATTACGGGATGTTGTGACACATTTTACCTTGATCAAAAATTGCAGCTCCCATGATTCGGATATTACACTTGGCAGTATTGTGATTTCTATAATATTTCGAGTTATTATAATAATAATAATAATAATAATAAACTAAATAATAAAAAATAAGAAGAAGAAGAATAAAAAAATGAGGCAATTTTAAGAAAATGCAAAAAATAAAATAAAATACCGTCACTGAAGCAGATAAGCAAAGATGGCAACTAATTGCCGTGTGGATTGTGCTGAGGTACAGCAGATCAAACAATCAGAGTAACACATTCAGCCCTAGTTGAAATCAGGCAATTCATTTATTATATATACTGATAAATATTGTTAATGTTTATTTACTGGCCTCCTGTCATTTTTGCAAAAGTGACCCTCGGGGAAAGCAAGTTGAGAATCTCTGCTGTAGTGTCGAGGCTGCAATCTCTACACGTAGTCTGACATATTGGACCTGTTCCCTGTCAGTAAACAACTTTGAATACTAGCTTAATCAAACAGGCAGAGCATCAGTTGCTGTAGCTTTATACAAGCTCATAGGATTGTTTTTGAGTCAACTCATAGAAGTCAGGTTGAACAAAAATCTGGCCTTGTTTGTAGTTTAAATCTCCAGCTCCAGGAATCTTGCGGGTCAGATGATGAGTGACTTCATAACGTGGCGCACGAGCATCAAAGTTCGCCTTTGTCCCTCCTCCGCGGGTGATTACGCTGTGTGTTCCTAACAGAGAGCGTACATATGCTAGTGATGGGTTAACATGGATAGTGCTCAGCGATTAAAAGCAAGCAAATGCATACACGACCACTGTTACAGACGTTTCCCTCTCTCCTGCATCACCTCGTTTCTTTTTACCCACGATGCATTTTTATTCCGCCACTTCTTCTGCACTAAAAATGCCTGTTAAGTTCTTAACTAAGGGTGCACTTTATGTATTTTACTTACTTTTGTTGTCAACGGTTGTTGAATCTGGAGAAAGTGGGCGTGTGATCAGGCAGACCTCCGACCGGTGAGACTATCACAGACACTATTATTACATGATTTACAAAAGCAGCGATGAATGACAATATGAAGAGCAAACAATGTTTTTAAACCGGTGAAGATGTATAGACTTTCTAGCACAAGTTGTATATACTGACTCAGATGTTCCACTTCGGGTCCAGCGCGGGTTTGTGAGTGAAGCAAGATCATATTTAAGTATTCCACATCATTAGAAAATATCCATTAAAGTCCTCTATCTCTAAAGGAGCCAGTCTAATCCACTGGTCTTGCACACATCTTCAAACATCTTCAAATTAAGTCAAATCTACTGCAACAAAAAAAAAGTGTGACTGAGGTTCAGTGCTCAGAAACTCCATATTTGGAGTTTGGGGTGATCGAGAAAGTGGAAGAATATTCAAGTTATTTGTATATGTGGGAAAAGTTACGGACCATTTGTCTGTAACGTTTTATTTTGGTTTCTCTGATAAAGAATATCTAAAGAGTTCATTCTCAGTTTCACCTGCTACCAGAGAGATGCCCTACTTATCTTTACAGAAATGAAGGTATAAACTGTATTATACTTAATTTAAGAAGACTTCTAGGTTGAGGACATTCGAGGGTGTATGGTTTCAAGCTGTCTATGTATATTAGTTTGCTGTAAATAGTCCGATGCATGTTCTATTCTTTCCATGAGCTCAAGCGGAAACATGTATAGCAGTGTTCTGACTCTGGTGTGCGACACGCGCGACGCTCGGATCAAGATAAGGAGACCGCTCTCCCCCCCTGAACTGTCCTTATCATTTTCCCTTCGACCTCACCAGACAAAAAGCAAAAGGTTTTCTTTTATTTTATTTTAATGTATTTGCTTGCTGAGCAGAGTTCTCTTGTCTGTAAATGTGAGCTTTCAGATCGCTGTGATAAAAAGTTTAATTAAAAACAATAAAAAAGAATGTGTTTTTATCTCATGATAACTGATTGTAATCTGTACAGTCAAACATATGTATTGGAGGAAACAAAAAAAAGAACATATTTATAAATGGTTACCAACTGAAACACGCCCTGCATGTCAGTCATTTATTTTAATGATTATTTGGATCTAACATACACACGTCATTTTCTTATTTTGGATGATTTTGGGCTACAAAACAAACATATAACTCCAGTGTGTCGACAAGCTTCTGTGCAATATGATGCAATTCAATACAACTCCAGAATACACTGCATTTTTAAAGCTATTAATGTTTAAATCAAAGGTGTTGTTGCATCGGATTTCATGATATCATTAAAGATATACTATGCGGGATTTTATCAAACAATGTCATCCCTCTCAATCATCACTTACGACTAACTACAAGTGTGTGGTGATGCCTTTATCTGCAGACACTGCCCGTGTTTTCCAGCACATCGTGACTCCCAGCTCGTCAAATACCGACACTTGGTCAGTTGCCCTTGGCATCAAACTATGATGCTCCAGTTACACATACAGCAACAGTTTTGGATGCTCAGGGACAGAGTGTCGGTTCACGCTTGTTAAATGCATTCTGTCCTTTCAAGCTAAACTTGGCGTGTAGGTAAAAAAACTTTTGGGTTTTTTTAGGTTTAAAAGCCAACAAAAAGTACGTGGTTAGGTTTAGAAAAGAAACGTCTTGGCTTAAAATAACATGGATTTTTTTTAAGTAAAGTAATGTCACATATGTCACTAGCATAGTTCGTTTGCTCATTTTCCGTAACCACTTATCCTATTAGGGGTCGTTGGGGGGCTGGAGCCTATCCCAGCTGACATTGGGTGAGAGGCAGGGTTCACCCTGGACAGGTCACCAGACTATCACAGGGCTGACACATAGAGACAGACAACCATTCACACTCACATTCACACCTACGGACAATTTAGAGTCACCAATTAACCTGCATGTCTTTGGACTGTGGGAGGAAGCTGGAGAACCTGGAGGAAACCCACGCTGACACAGGGAGAACATGCAACCTCCTCACAAAGTGGCTCCCCCACCCTGGGTTCAAACCAGGAACCCTCTTGTCCAACATGAAACCAAAAGGTTTGGTTTCATGTTGGACACAAACAACAGTCTCATGGGTGAAAGTCCAGAGTTCCTGCTTACCCTATTTGGACTTTCTTGCTCTTCATACTACAGCAGTTGCTCAGAGCATCAAAAAATGCAGCTACCTGATGCATTTCTTAACACCACTAAAGGGTGCCTCGCTGCATCGGTATCTGACACCGAAGGCTACTGTTAAGCATCAGTATTTGACAAGTTGGGAGTGAGACCAGATTGCTTTCTATATTTTCTTCTTTGTTGTGTTCAGGGCATTCCTGGGCAGCACAAAGGTAGGGTCGGGACTTAGCAACCAGACTGTAAGCACCAGGCATCCAAGAGGAAGCTGCGGAAATTGCAAGGCCAAACACCAACTGCACAAAGCTGAAGTTGCCTTTCGTTGTTGCTGTTGATGCTTTAGCCAACAACTCCTTCATAGTATACCCTCATGTATTTTACATCGTCATACATCTGTTGGCCTTTGAACCAAAGTCTGAGCACCAGTTTGTCCAAAACATGGTGCTCATTCCTGGAAATGCTCAATTTTTAATGGTTGAATTTTACTCACAATGTTACTTTATGTTTATGCTGAGTAGTTTAAAAGGTGAACTTCACCAGTTTTACACATCAGAGTCTGTTCTGCCCTACAAAAGCAACCACAGTGAGACGAAGGGCTTCAAAGTTTCTTGTGTGTTAAAGGTAGAATTGTGATTTTTATGCCAAAAACTCTGCCTTTGTATGACCTTAAAAAGACGTATAGGCAATCCAAAGACAGAGTGCAGTAACTATAACTAGTGATTTATTTATTTCAGCGTGAGGAAAACTTTTTTCATTTCTTACCACATTCAGTTCATATTTGTTTCTTTTATAGATGTCTGTTTCAAATAGTGACAGAATATTTTAAGTAACCTTCATATTATTTTGATTTAATTTTCACTTCATCAGGTTTGACCTTTATTGAGATTCCTTGACAACATCATCTTTATCACTGATCCACTATCGACTGGTCATTGTCACGTTATCAGTTACTTTGTCGTTGGCATCATCCTGACGTTCACAAATTGCTGCAATACTCTTACTGCAATCTTAAGTACTGTATCATAGACAACTGGACTTGAGTCTCTTAAAGACATTTCGCCTCTCATCCAACAGGTTTAATCAGTTCTTAGTAGGTTTGTCACGATACCAGAATTTCAGTAGTCAATACCAGTGAATTTCCACGATTCTCAATACTCATTCGATACCACGATAAAAATCAAAAAACAGAACTCATGTATTTCTAAATTCACTACTTTATTAAAACTGTTTCAAACTTTAACTTTAACCCTCTCCACACACGACTCCTACTACCTGACTTTGCGACAAGCCGAGGTGTTGTGGTTCCAGCAGCACTTGTTAAAACCATTGTTTCTAGCAAAGACGATGGAGAACAGGCGTTCTTCTTCAGCGCTCGTCCTCGGCACAGACTGACGCTCGTATATTGCCCCTGTCAGTTCAGACAGGAATCGACACGACCCGCTGAGGGCAAAGTTGTATCCGGTACTTACGGTATTGGAAAAAAAAAAAAAGTACAGACGTATTTTCTGCATGTTGGCATCGACTTGATACTGAAGTATCGGTTCTCATGACAACACTAGTTCTTAGAGAGGCGAAACGTCTTCAAGAAACTCAAGCAAGTCCAGTTAACTACGATATAGCACTTATGATTACATGACCTGGATGACTGAGAATCTTCACCGACATGCTTAAAATGAATCCCAAGGCGGAGCGCAGTAACCACATTTACTGTGGTTTGCTTTGGGTTTGAGTTGGATTTTGTGGTTAATTTTCACACCCTATTCTCTCAAGAACAGAACTAGATTCAGCTAAGAAATATTGTCACAACATAGAACAGATATTCAAAGGTTTCATTTCAGTCAGAACTCAGTTTTGACTGACTTTGTAGATGCTGCGATTACCTTTGTAGGGCAGCGTTTACAGACTGAATCTCCAAACCAACTGTTGGTAGTTGAGTTGCTTTGTGGGTGACATAGGCCCCAGGCTTTTACAAGGAAGAATGTGCAGAATAAAAAAAGACAATACCTCTGGTTCTGCTGCATCAGTACTTTTAACTGTTGACCGTTACAGGAGTGCAAAGCTAAATCCGTTTAGGACTCTTCTGACCTTTCTTGATGACGTTCTCGCAGACCAGAACGCCTTAATGATCAGTACATAGGATCAAAAGCTCTTGACTGTCTTTGTACTCACTTTGAGAACAATGTTTTGGTCCTCAAACCTTCATTAAGTTGATCTTTTTTCATCTGATTTACCCAATCTTTTACCTGATGAAGGTCTAAAGGCTGACATATCGGTAATACACTGAGTACAAACGATTGATGCCATGTTTTATCCAGTCTTAAATGGTAACATTCACAAGCTAGACCCTGCCAAACAAGGTTTTCAAGTCACGTATCATATTTTTTATGTACAGTACCTCAAACCTGCACATTTTACCACCAAAAAAAGCAAGATATTCCAAAAATACTGTAGTATTAACACTTATTATTACTGCCGTGTATAGATTTACTGTAACTGTGCAGTAAACTAAAAATCTGATACAATCTCCTCACTGAAAAACCAGGAAATAAAAAAATAAGTAACTGACTAGAGACCGCTGCCAGCTGAAATGTAAGAGAACAAGAAAATAATCAAAGTGAATGAACTACGACCCTCACCCATGAACAATATAAGACAGACATTTAAAGTGCTTACAGAAACCCAAGAGGAAGCTAAAGTCCTTGAAGGTGTGACGGATACCCCCAAACATGGAGCGTAGACAGTGTCTAGTCCTTCTTCTTCTTGTGTGTGAACAGGTGAACCAGCCCGGGCACCAGCACCATGACCACCTGAGGCACTATGATGAACTTGACGAAGAACAGGCCGTAGAAGAGGCCTTGAGGTCGGACCGGGAGCGGCAGACGATGGACGTGATACAGTCCCATGGATGAAAAGGCCAGAGACAGAGCCCGAGGAGCCCACGGCAGAGACCATCCGCCAGGCTTCCAGTACTGAGCCAGGCCCAAACCCAGAAGGGCCCCGCAGTCCCGCGTCAGAGAGGAGAACGGAGCAGTGTCCAAACGAATCCACTCAGCATGGCTGCACCACTTCTTAGCCAAAGAAATCGACCTGTGGAAGAGATTAAATATGTCCAGTCAAGGCAAAAAAATGTACTTCACCTTCACAGAGCTCATTATGCACCAAACAGACACATCAGTGCTCATAAATGTAATAAGCACACTGACCAGGAGAGGTTGATTCCCAGCTGCTGCAGTCCGGCGTGCAGCATCAGGGTGCCCAACAGCAGACCGATGCTGAGGCAGAAGAAGAACAGCAGGGGGCGACCTTCTGGGACTCTGCGGCCCAGAACAATCCCCAGAATGAAACCTGACAAGGAAATAAACTCAAATCAGTGAAAAAAAATGCAATGAAAAATATACCTGATGTTTACAGAGGACAAAAAAAATTATAAATAAATAGTGGACTAAATAAAAGAATCAATAAGTGCTGAATAAAGTGGGAATAAATAAATAAATGCATTAATAAAGGTATACATACAGAAGTTAGGACCTTCTACCTCAATAACATACAGACAGAAATACATAAATAAATTAATTAATGTAGCTGTACAAAAATGTATAAATAAATTCAAGATATTTATTTATTTCCTGTTTAATTGTCAACATTATTTATTTATGCATTTATGTATTTATTTTCTTATTTATTAATCTATTCATTTTTGTTTATTAATGCATTTATTTATGTCTGTATTTATTTGAGCATATTTTTATTTGCTATATTTTATATTATTTACTTATTTATTTTATATACTTTTATTTTTTTCTATTCATTCTTTTAGGTATGTTTGTATTTATTGCAGCATATTTTGTGTTCTATTTTTTTAATATACTTTATTGTCAATTTTTTTCATCTATTTTATGTATTTAGGCATTTATCTATTTATGTTCATATTTATTTCAACATTTATTTATTTATTTATTTATGCAATTATTTATGTCTGTATTTATTTTAGCATAATTTTATTTGCTATATTTTATATTATTTACTTATTTTATATACTTTTATTTTTTCTATTTATTCTTTTAGGTATGTTTGTATTTATTGCAGCATATTTTGTTTTCTATTTTTTTAATATACTTTATTGTCAATTTTTTTCATCTATTCTTTTATGTATTTAGGCATTTATCTATTTATGTCCATATTTATTTCAACATGTATTTGTTTATTTATTCATGCAATTATTTCTGTCTGTATGTATTTCAGCATATTTTTATTTCATATATTTTATTTATATTTTATTATTTTTATGTTCATATTTTTTATTTATTCTTTTATTTATGCAATTATCTATTTATTTCAACATTTACTTATTAATTTAGTCTTTTATTTATTTATTTATGCATTTATTTGTCTTAATTTATTTCAGCATATTTTTATTGAATATACATTTTATTTTATATACTTTATTTTCATATTATTTATTTACTTGATTATTCCTGCATTTCTTTACACATTTATTTAGTTATTTATTTCTGTATTTTTTTTATTTTTATTGTCATTTTTCATCCTCCCTAATTTTTTGCTACCTCTGTAGATAATCATCTCCATGATATGAGTTTCAGCTGATACTGTCTGGTTGTTTTACCTGTTTATGATTTTCCAGGAAAATGTCACATCATGTACTGATGTTTTTATGTCAAATTATACATACAGATTTAAGAGGATTTAATCCATACACCGATACCCACACTCCACATTTTAACTTGTGCATGAAACTGTATTCAGACCTGTAATGGAGCCGGCGACGACCTGGTGAGGGAAGTGGGCGAGGATGAAGATCCTGGAGATTCCAACCGCCGCCAGCATCACCACATAGAGCAGGTAAGGAACAGCTGATAACAACACACTGAAGACACAGAGACAGAAAGAATCATTAAAAATATCTCTGACATCTTTTATCTGTGCATTTAAAGCCAAAGCAGCAGATAAGTTTATTTTTAATGAGCATACCTGCGAGTGCGTGAGTACAGGAACGACCCCAGCGAGGACACCACGATCCACCAGACTGCTGCCGTCACCATCGCATGTCCCGACGGACTCCCTGAGAGACAGACGCCAGCTTTAGAGCTCTGACTGACTGAGCAGTGAGGTTAAAGTGTACTCTCTGTGAGTGTCTCTGAGGACTTCTCACCTGGGCCGGTTTCACACGTGGAGGAAAACTGCTGAACTTTGGGCTGCTTGTTGACAAACAGATGGGATTCACCTATCCACCAGAACGGCCTCTCACCAAACAGCATCCTGGGAAAAATACACAATAATTCAAATTTCTGTACATCTGTCTATTTCCACCCACGGTACCAGAGTATCTTGTACGTGAATGATGCATGAAGTCCTGCACATCTTCACCTTCATTTAGAGACAATTACAGTTTCTTTTCTACACCAACCTCTATAAATTCTAAAGCTATACCATCCCCCACCTTTATTGTCCTTATCTCATATTTCCTACCATTATTTCATGGTGTATAAATAGTTTTGCTGCAGTAACACCAAAAATAATTCCTAAAATATCATTGTCACAATCCTTAGTTCTCTTTTTTGCCAGTTCACCAGCAACCTTGTTTCCAACTACTCTCATATATTCATGTACATCTATTCCTAGTTTCTTAAGTTTGATATAAAACATAAAAACGGTCCGAGCTGTGCATTTCAGCAGCGATATTTCAGTTTAATTCCTCCTTTATCCATTGTAGACTGATGATAATAACAGTTGTGGTGTGGTGCGTGTGCAGATTATTAGATTAGTAGATTGGGGGGGTTATGTTACTATGGCAACCACACACTGCCATCTGAAATAATCATTAGCAGATGTAATCATAGTCATAAATAAACTTGTCAAACTTTAAACAAACACATAAAGATGTCTGGAATATTGGGATGCTTTTCATTAAGGCACATGGATTTTCATGAGGGCTATAAAACTGATTAGCGTTTTTTTTTTTTTTTTTTTAATCAATAGAATTTTAAAAAATAATAAAAATGTTAAAACACACACCTTTTTTTTTTTTTACGTTGATCAAGAAGCATATGAGCCTTGTGATGCTGAACGTAACAGCTCAACCTTTCGTGTAACATTACTTAAATCATCTAGGATCTTTGTTTCAAAATGCTTATAAATGGTCAGTTTAGATGTAAAGTTTCTACAAATTTCTACAAAGACTCGCCTACAGGGTTGGGAAATAGAAGGCAAAAAACGTTTAGTAAGGAGTCCTAGCTTAGGAGTGATTTAGGAATGTTCTCAGAGCAACTCTGAGCAAGAAGGAACAGAATCTTTTATCTTAGTGAGGAGGTGTGGTCGACCTTGTGGCTAGGTATGATGCATTATTTTAACAGATGTGATTGATTGTTACAAACACACCTACTATGAGCCTGCACAGTGTGGACACCCAGTGGAAATGGAATGAACTGCTGACTGTGAAAGTGTTGTCATTGTTGGTGTGATCTCTCTGCTGATGGAAGGATGAGACAGACCCAAGTCATCACTGCTGCACTGTTGGGTTTTTACTGTTTTCAAATATCTTAGTGTTGTGATCATTTGGTTCTGGCCTCATAATGTAAGATGGGAAATATGTGTGTATCCCTAATGATAATTTTTTTAGAATTTCATCACTGGGCACTTTGTGAACACTGCCCCAGATTTCTATGTCTTTGTTGTTTAAATAAAAGGCAGGTATACTGTAGGTGCTGTATAAATATTGTTAAAGTGTCAAAAATCTCACTCCAATGTATTTATTTATTTTTCTCCAGATATATATTCCTTCTGGCTTAATTACATAATTTTATTTATTATGCCCTGTCATGTCTGACTTTGGTTAATATGTGTATTCATGATTATTCAACACAAATCCCCTTACCCGTGATGGGTAAGGGGATTTGTGTTGTTGTTGTTGTGACGGACTATATTTTGTAGACCATGTGATGCAACTCATTTGAATATTATATAATAAAAAAACTGTATGCCATGAAAAAAAAAACTCAATCCACAGAGAAATGCACACAGTCCACATTCAGAAACTGTGCCTTTAAAGGAGCAGTCAGGATTTATGGGGAAGTTGTGATGTCACAACCATACTATATATAAAGGTAGAAAGTGCCACAAAAGTGCCGTTACAGTCATTTTCTCGGCTGCAATGACGGTGCAGAAACGCTGAGATCGCAGATGTGAAATACCCAGAAAAACCAACCAATCAGAGTGGACTCTGCTTTTTTGGGAGGCAGACGCTAAAACTGAGCGTTTCAGACAGATAGTGAGCTCAAGTATAGTCAGGAAAACAATACGAGGACAGTAAAGTGTTTTTTGAACATTAAAGCACGTAAACATGTTCGAGTACAACCCCAAAGTACAAGTTTCAACCTGAAAATGAGCAAAATAAGGGACTTTTAAAACCAAAACGCCATGATGTCACAACTATTGTGTATAAAAGGTTCCGCTTCGAGCTGTTTCCCCCCGGGCAGTATACACGGTCGGATCGTCTTAGCTGCAACGTCAACAGCATAACATTCAATAACGTTTCTGACCTATTGTGAATAAAAGGACAAATAAAACATTAAAGCTGTGGTTGTCTCTACCTGACAGTGACTGGTGTGAATGTCAACAACACAGTTAGCATCATGCTAACATGCTAACATGATGAAAGACACGGTCAGAGGGTAAAAGCTCCTCATTTAAACCATGTTTAAAACATGTTGTTGTTTTATCCTTACCATTTAAACACCAGGTTCAACCACTCTGATATAGCTGCCACCCAGAGCACTTTGACTCCGGCTCGTTTGCTGATGAAATATGTGAAAGGAAAGACGAGCAGGAAGGCTGCTTTAGGGTCTCCCATGTGAGTGACGACCTGCCAGGTCTTCTCGTGATGTAGCGTCTTCTGCTGGAGACTCTCAGCCATCCAGATGCCCTGGGTGTACACGGCCTCCATCCTGTGTCCTCTGCTCCCACAGCATACACCTCAATGTCGATTAAAAAAATGCACTGCTGATTATTTTGTACTTCAGGAAGTGCGGCAGCAAAACCTGCAGTGCTGTCATGTCTCCTGTAGGGGGAGCACTTTGAATGGAGAGCGGATGAATGGGAGACAAAACCTTTTTATTAATAAATTACATTTACATTTAACTTACAATAAAAGCATTTAATAGATTATTTATTGATATATCGCGGGGTTAGACAGATTTAATTAAACATATCAATTGTCGTATTTGAATAAATGACCAAAGCACGTTTTTTTTTTTTTAACTTTCTTTATTGTGTACAAATTAATAAACAGAAATACAAAGACAAAAAAAAACCTAAATAAGAATAAAAAACAACCACAAATAAAGAAAATAAGTAAGGTGTCCTTGAGTGCTCTGAAAGGCACCTAGAAATAAAATGTATCATTACTGCCAGTATTATTATAATCATTATTATATGTTATTATTATTGTTTTATAATTTTTGTGAGATGCATCATCCTACAATCATTTCATAATTTAAGGGTCTTAGGGACTGTTAGTTATTTGTGAGGCGGGAGAAGTGGTGCAAAGATGGGTAGGTAAGTCAAATAACTTTTTAAGCACTGGGTAGGAACTAACGTTTTTTATTTTTATCTTTATTTGTTTATTTATTTATTGGCATAGGAGAGGGGCATACAACTTAAAATTGTTGCATTTTGTATTTATTTTAAATACTCTCTGAACCCTGAAAACCGCTGCCATGTTTGGAAGGTATGTTTATTTATTTATTTTTAATTTAAAATAAACATATATCACTAGATTATTATTATGAATATAATAAATAACAAACAGTCCCTAATGGGGACGAATAATTTTATCAACAGAGGAGTCAGATTTTAGTAAAAGCTTGATACAAACAACTGGATCAAACAGCTAATTGGGAAAACTATTCCAAATATTATCCTTGTTTTTGTAAGTATTCCACAATCCATTTAATCTTAAAGGTCCCATACTGTGAAAAGTCAGATTCCAATTTCTTTTTTCATATAGAGCAGGTACGGGTAGTGTATAAATACTGTGAAAGTATAAAAACAGTCCAGTTCAGAGAGTTGTACACAGTTCATGTTCAGAAACTGTGTCTTTAAATGAGCCATCAGGATTACTGCGAGTTTGTGATGTCACAACTATACCGTATAAATCGTTTCCAACTCAAAACAAAAACATTCCCCAGGGTCCTTTTGTATTTCCTGTTGGAATATTTTCCAGTGTATATGAATCACATCAGCTGACAGGAAGTAGACATGGAACTAAGCTGTTCAGCATGACATCACGTTAACAACAACAATCACATCTGGGTAGAAAACTAATTACAACTGTGGAAATATCTAAATTAGCCGTAACTGTCAGGGATGCATGATATTGGATTTTTTTGCTGATATCCATTATGCTGATATATAACGACTCATTTGGCCGATACCCAGTATCAATATAATCTCTTTTTTCCCCCATCTAATTTTAGTGATCATCAAGTCTCTTCTGTAGTGGAATTAACATCATATTATACATGCATGCTTGTATCGTGACGGCCCACCAGCAGATGGAGACATGAAACAGAATGCTTTTCACTGTATGTAAGATTCATTCATTGAGCAAATTAAGAATAAGCATATTAGCTGATTCCGATAGTTCATTGTAAAGCCGATATTGGCTGATACCAATGACATGCCAATGTTATCATGCATCCCTAGTAACTGTTACATTTAAAGATCTATAGAAAAACATTGTGGTCAGACCTATCTAACGTTTCTGCTGTGCTTATTTTACGTACTTTGCTGCTTTGTGATTTCCTTGATAAACCAAAGATTGTGCCTTTGTGGTAGCTGCTCCAAAGCTTTGGAATAGCCTTCCACTCTAAATTAAATCCCCCTCCACTATTGACACTTAAAAGACAAATCTTAAAATGTACATGTTTTCAATGGCCTTTGGTTGTGGTTTTAATATTTTAGTGTTTTATAATCTGTTTCATGTTTGTAATTGTTCTTACCAGGTTTATTCTTGTGTATACATTTTATATTGCTATATATTTGTGTGTCATTCATTTATTTTGTACAGCACTTTGGTTGTTTTTAAATGTGCTATATAAATAAACTTGATTTGATTTGAAATCTACTGACACAGAAGTTAAATAATTTCCTGCTTTAGATGCAGCAAAACGTATTTCAGCCACCTTAAAAAAATCCATATGGGTGTAAAAGTATGCTATATTTGTGAATATTCTCTCTCTCATTTGTCATATACATTAACCAATTGGCGCCATGTTAAGACCAGCAACTCAGTGAGTAAGTAAAATGACTATTTTTGTCAATAGAGTCTAGTGGTTTTTAGATTACGGCTTCAATTCAAAGTCGTAAAAAGTTATTAGACGGCAAGGCAAAGCAGTGAAAATATTCTACATGTAGTGTACACTGATACTGATTTTTTTTTTTTTTTTTTTTTTTTTTTTAAAAACAAACTAAAAAACTAACTAACCGAGACAGTGTGGTGTTGTTTAATGTCAGGTATGCAAGGTGAAGATTTTCTTTTATTTTCATCAGTCTCGTCTCGTTCTTGGGTTTTCAACATTGTACAGAAACAAGAACATATAGTTAGGTGTGGATTTTCTACCTGGAAGTTATTGTAAATGAACATTGTTATTCGGTCTATATCGGTGTTATATTGTTATATTATATTACAACTGCTGCTGACTTTCCACCTTGATTGTACATAGGTGTAGAGTATCTTCTAGAGTGTCTTGTCTATTAGTTATACTGCTTAGTTATTATTTTTATTTTCACTTGTATTGTTTTTTATTGTATTATTAATATTCCAATTTAGCTTTTTTTAGGTTTTAAATTGTATAGCATTAATGCTAAGTGAGAGGGAAACAGCATTTTGTCATGCACATATAGCAAATTGACAATAAAAAAAACAACTTTTGAACTTTTTGAAAAACTTTAAAGGCAGAAAAACGGAGCGTTTCAGACAGAGGGAGGTTACATGAATATTCAGGCAGGCAGTGTGAGAAAAATAATGTGTTTTCTGAACATTAAAGCATATAAACATGTTCTGGGAGAAACCCAAAATACAAATATGAACGTGAATATGAGCACATTAAGGGACCTTTAAATGACTTGGAGAGCGGTTGAATGAAGAGTGCAGCGTGAACCCACTGTGACGTCACCCACTGGTTTGTGGCAGTGGGAGACAAAGCCTCAACTTTGTCCTTCGATTAATTAAATAATATTCACATTTACGCTACATTTAAAGCGTTAAGAAGGTGGTTTAACGATAAAACGCGGAGTTATATTGATAAAACTGTGAATATAAATCGCTGTATTTGAATAAATGACCATAACGCGACGTAGTTCGACACGCCCAGGTTTCGTCTGAATACGACATCGCGTCGCTTTACGTAAGGCAGGCGCTCCGGTTTCCTGGCGGAGAAGATGGCGGCTCCTGGACCGGGGGAGTATTTCAGCGTCGGGAGCCATGTCTCTTGCCTCACCTGCTTGGGCCAACGTCTGCAAGGAGAAGTGGTCGCGTTTGACTACCAGTCCAAGATGTTAACTCTGAGTATCCTTTTGTTTGTGTCGAGCTGCGGTCGGCTCGCTGGCCTGCCTGGCTGCAAGGGCCTGTAGGGTAACCGAAAATATGTCAAATAGTGATCCGCGCAGGCGTAATTGGTGGGAGCTGAGTTAGATATCTTTGTCCTTTTTAAATATTTCCACCGGCGAGGTACTCCTCCGTTTATCTCATATGTGTCGAAGACGCTGTAGGTGTCGCCGGGTCATTTCACGGCTTCTCGCTATCTGCTGAGGAAGAGCATGTGTTTTGAATCCACTCATTGTATTGCCAGACCCCAACATGGATCACTATCTGGCAACGGAGGCATCATGGCTGTGTGCTCTCAACAGGCATAAACCGTTGCTAGTTAGCAAGCTAACTGACATTCAGCGCATCTCGCCCGGGCTCTCGCGCACACGTTGACCTCACATACTCGGTGGTGTCATTTTTTGGGATGTGCCAGCGGTTTGTTTCCCCAAAGCTAGTGATGAATTGACACGAGTTCCCCTCCACGCTACAATCAAGTTGCTGTTAGCTCGGCTAGCATGCTAAGTTTCGGTCAACCCCACACTGCCGCTACTAGCTCAATTAACGGTATTAGCATTCCCGAGCTTATCAGCTGGGCTTTCTCCCCCCCCCCGTGTCTCGTCCGATTCTGGTGACATTGTGATTATTGGGTGATTATGGGGTGGGTTATGTTACGGTTTCATTTCATTAAGATTCAGGTAGCAGAGGCATCATGGGTTCATCAGGGAGCGTATCTGTTCCCCAGCTCAACATCCTGTTAATGTGACACATGAAGGAGGCATTTCAAAGGGCTGTATCTTCTCAGGAGTGTTTCCCCCTAGGTCAAATGTTCAGTGTATGTTTACCTTGGTTAATATGTTTTAATCATCCACCTACAGTTTATAGCTTTCTGATGTTATACTGCTTAAAACCCACGCCCTCAAATTGCAGGCAAGACAGTTTTCCTGACTTTAGACGTCAGTGTCGCCACATTAGAGGAACAGATTTTTACGAATCAAACTACATTTGAAACTTCAGTTTTTCTTCATGCGTTTGCAATTTGAGCTGAGAAGATAGCCCTGACAAATTTCTGACAATGTTACTTTACTTTAAAAGTCATATAAATATTTGTAAATATTTAAAATCACTAAGAATTGTGTCTTGTGTTATATTGAGGGAATATAGAGCTGGGGGACATGGGATCATGGGACCGTTGCGACCACTCCATTCATTACAAATAAGGCTGGGTTGCTGGTGATTTGAATTGAGAAGATAGCTCTGACCTTTCTCCGACAATACTAGTTTATATTGAGACATATAAATATTCATAAGTGATTTGCCTGTGGGACAACTTCTGCAAATTGACAGGAGAGTTACAAACATTAGTAATATTTAATAGTCTATATCAGGGGTGTCAAACTCATTCTAGTTCATGGTCCTTATTCTCTGTATTTGATCCTAGGTGGGCCGCACCAGTAAA